GAGCGTGCTGCTCTGACCGGCTTTAAAGGGTTAAACCAAAAAACTTCTGCCGTTTGATAAAAGCTTTGCTGAGTACATACCCATGCTTCATGACGTGCAGATTCCACAGCTTCATGATCTCCTTCTCCCCCTCGTTCACGTCCATGAAGTCCTCGATTTGCTGCAATCAGAGCGCACTAGTTAGCATTTAGCATGGACTGTATATAAAAGATGGAGGTCGATTTTGAAGCCTCAAATTTATGATTTAGGCGAGTGTCACATCCTCTGGTATTTCTTAAAAAAGACTTTAAATGAGACCACAAACTCTCCAGGAAAGCATTTACTGAAGTCAGAACTCGAGTTAAAAATAGGGTCGTTTTCCTCATAGAGTTCTATACAAATCAGATTTAAGAGGAGTCGCCCCCTGCTGGCTAAAAAAAGAAAGAAAAAAAGAACAGATTTAAGACGCCTCTGCACTGGCTTCATTCTTCAAACCACGGGGTTACATCCATCTTTTACATACAGTCTATAGTGTTTATGCAGGTTGGAGTCCAACATCACAGAGAAAACTTGAAAAAGAAAACCTCCCCAAAACAACCAAAGAAACGCAAGAACACAACAACCATTTGTAAACGGTGTGTCTGAGTTGAAATCTTTTTTATCGTTCATTATAAAACCTGCTTTAAGTCACAGGTTGTTAAGTCATGGGGAGCTTTAATGTTGACATCAACAGGCCAGCGGCAGAAACGTCCACGCTGGCTTCTGTTACCCTCACACCAATCTGGAAAAGTTAGCATAGTTAACACAGTCACGAGAAGCAGAAGCCGTTCACAGGAGGAGAGAAGCCCGAGCGTCTGCTGAATCGTCTGAATCCTTCAGAGGTTTTTAACGATCAGAGAAAACAGTCGAGATCAAGGTGACTTCAACAAAAACTGGCTGTTTCGTCTGAACAACAACCTGAAATGTTTTACTCTCCAAATGTTCTCCTTTTAGAAGCAGGAGAAAGCAAATGTTTCAATATCGCTGTTTGATTATTGGAAGCGTATTTGTTTCTCTGAATTTGGTGAAGATGGAAAAGGTTACCCTGGATTTTTCCCTTTAATAACCATTAGATTTCCCATCCCAGACTGAGAGCTGGTTTCTGCAGGGACACACCAATCAAACTTTTTACAGTTCAAACTGCGTTGATATCGAAAACCGATCCAATGGAGCTTTCTACTGTTTCTATACCCGGCTTCCTCCTCCTCCTCCTCAGGAGCATTCCTGTGTTTGCTCGTCTGGCTCCAGCTCACCTTTACAGTCTTCTCTTTGAGCCAGTCGGGGTCCCTCTCGTCCTCGCTGTCCACTTCCATCTCCTGGGGCCTCAGCGGCAGACAGCTGTCGCTGTGGAAGTACAGGCGATTGTGTCCACTGATGTACGTCCTCTGCGCCTCCCGATCGCCATCCTCAGACTCCAGAAACTCCGACAGGCTCGGCTTTGTCCTCTTGGGTCTGAGAGGACAGGAAGAGGATGATCAGGAGTTCCTGTCGCCCTCGGCAGCATGTAAATAAATATAAAGGTAGAGGAGAAGTTGGAGGGGTACCTGCAGACCAGAAAGTGGGTGACGGCAGTTCTCTTCACGGGGCCGTTCCTGCTGAAGGCGAAGCCCGGCTGGCTGTGGATGTCCTGAGGATTTCCTGCGTACGACCCATCGTAACACTCGTTGATAGAAACCTCGATCTTTGCTCCTTTGGGATGGGGCTGCCAAAGATCAGAGATGCATATTTAAAGGACATGCTCGACAGCATGTTAAAAGATCTCAGTGCTGGATTTAAATAATAAATACTGATGATACCCCCCAAGTTTAAAAGTTTTACATTGTACAATGTTTTTAAAGTACTGGTGTCTTTGATTTTATTGGTTCTTAGCTTTGTTTCCAAGCCTTGTGGAGCACGCTCATCAGGTTGTAACAGAACTTAAAAATGAAACGCTCCTCGTCAGTCGACAGCGTGTCGACTGTTTGACCCATAACGACCTCGACTCAAACCTTCAAGCAAAATCCAAAGGATTTATGCTCCTGGGTATATCTGTGCTTCTCTTCCTTTCCTACAGCGAACATTAGCTCTGACTGACGCAGATGTGGCTGCTGCACTAGGTAAGCTGATGTTAGGCAACATCTGCAAGAAGACATTTTTACCTAAACATGTCTGACAGAACAGGAATTTGGTTGGTAGGAAAGCTTTGGTCAAACTGGCAGTGCAAAACACGAGAGCAACAGCTGGTGTACATCTCTCACCACGTAGTTGAAGATGAAGCGGGAGTGGGACAGTTTGAGGTGTTTGACGAGACTGTACAGCTTCCTGCAGTTCAGCGTGCACCACGGACAGTGGAGGTCATCCCTGGCCTCGGTCTGCTGCCGTGTGTTGTTGTTGTATTGAAACTAGGAAAGAAAGAAACAGAGTGTGAGCTCAGCTGCTGAGAAGCGACAGACTCGCTGATCTTTGACGAGGAATTCACATCCTGTTGCTACTCCTCGACATGCAGCAGCCTTCATGAATCCCACTGTGTCTCACACTTTGATCTCGGCACTCCTTTGTTTCACTGTCACACCTCATCCGTGGTTTTTGGGTCATTTTATTTCACCTAAACTCACCACAGGGATTCCCGACGCCCAAGAAAAGGGATTACCAATGCTAATGCTAATGCAACAACACAAAAATACCACATCTTTTACCCCATCTGTGGTCAGGTGTAGACTGACATTAACTGGTAGGATATACATGTGCCCCAGACAGAAAATATACTTCCCGTTGACGTGCATTAGAAAGTCGTGCTGGACAAAATAAAAATTGGGTTTTGTGTCAACGAACACGGACAATTTGCCTGTTCGCGATTACTTCATGTTTTCCTCTGAGGCCAGGCTGAAAATGTGTTTTGTAAATTGAAGCGAGCTCTGGTCATACAGTTCACTCACGCTTTAATCTGTGAGCGTCCAACTTTTCTAACCATCTGTAACACACAGTCGGGGGGAGAGTCGAAGCAGTGGAGAAACTACAGACAGCAGATGTCCATCAGGTGTCTCATCCATCAGCACAGACAGCAGCTGTGCAAAGCCTTTGAATGAGGCTGTTGGTTGCCTCGAGTAACGCTTCATGAAATCATTCCTACTGTTCTCTATAAAACTCTGTCACAGGTGAACACACCTGTCAGGTAAGATTTCACACACACTTCTGTGTTATTCCTTCTTGTACAGTGTACATATTATCTATTAATGGGATTTGCACTACTCTCTTGCACTC